AGTCACCGTCGCCGCGCTGCTCGACCGCCAAGGTTTGGTAAACGCGAGATTGCCGGTGGCAGAGAAGCGAAGGGAGTAGGAACCGGTCAAGGATTCCGAAGCATCCAAGGAAATGGTTCCCAAATGGGCGTCGTCAAAGGGTAGTTGAAACGATCCGCTCTCAAAGCCGGGATCTGAGATCAAGTTGCCGGAGTGGGTCGGTGTGGCCGTGGAGGGACCTGCCGAGAGCAAGAATAGGCAAGCCATTGCAAAAGAAAATAGAGTGACGCCGACTTTCCTCGACTTTGTGTTTTGGACATGACTCGGCCCTCGGAATAAACCGTTCATTTGTGCGCTCCTAGTATGTGCTGATTTGTTGGGAGCGAAGGTGGGTCCTTCGCTGCTCACATCCTAGGGCGTCACTTTTCACCAGCTCAGATCAAGCCCAGCGGTTTTGGCCAAGCCGCAAGCTCCTAGAACTCGATGCCGGGCTGAGCCTTGATGCCCTGCTCTTTGAACGGGTGCTTGATGGGCTGCATTTCCGTGACGAGGTCCGCGAATTCGACGAGCTCCGCCGGTGCGTAACGACCGGTGATGAGCAGGTGCATCATGGGTGGTTTGTGCTCGCGGATCCAATCGAGCACTTCTTGGGTATCGATCCAGCCGTAGTGCATGGGATAGGTGAATTCGTCGAGCAACACGACGTCGTAATCACCGCTCGCGATCTTTTCCTGGGCGAGCTCCCAGCCGTGCTGGGCTCGGGCTTCGCTTTCGTCGAGATCCTTGCTTTTCCAGGTCCAGCCGTCGCCGGTCCCCACCCAATCGATGCCCATTTCGCGTCCGGCGACGATCTCGCCGAAACGGGCCTTGGGTGGCTTCAGGAATTGCACCACCGCGGTGCGCATGCGGCGTCCCGTGGAGCGCATAAGAATGCCGAGGGCCGCCGTGGTTTTGCCCTTGCCGTTGCCCGTATTGACGATCACTAAGCCCTTTTTCTTCTTCTCTTTGCGCACCTTGGCCCGATACGCCTCCGCTTCTTCGTCCTGCTCTCCGGCATCGGCCGACGGAGATTCTTCATTCGAATCCGGCTCCGGTTTCAGCATGTCCGGATTGTGTCGGTCGAAAATCAGCTCCTCCACCGGACGTCCCTCGACCAAGTGCTCCTTAAAAATACGCCGAATCGCCTGCTCGTCGACCCCGTGGTACCAGATGCCTTCTGGATAGACGACGGCAATGGGACCTTG